TAATAAAATATTGGTGAATACTATTCAAAGATATTTATTTTTGTCTATTTATCTGTTGAATACATTTTAGAAATGAAAATACTATTTATAGCTATTATTCGGCGCGTTTTGGTGGTGTCTTAAGCCACGGATCATTCATTATGGCCACAATTGTGGCCCTTTTGGTGACGTCCGGTTCAATCATTTTGCGGATCATAGCTTTGAGTTCATTGGAGAGCTTATCGACGACCCGTTTCTTGAAATCCCATTCGCCGGCCAACTGTTTTCTAAGCATTTCCTTTTCATCATCTATTTTGAAGGGCAGTCCGTCGTTAACCATAATATAGAAACAGACGCCAAGACTCCACATATCAGATACGAACGGATTGTGTGGCTTTCGCTGCAGTATTTCGGGCCCGAAGTAGGGAATGGATCCGCAAAATGTTGTCGACTGCCTCTCCTTCTCGTCCACAACCACTGAATAACTAAAATCACTGATTTTTGGACTCTTACTGTCGGAGATGAGAATATTCTCGAGCTTGAGATCCCTGTGCGCTATCTTATGGGCGGAGTGCATGTGATTCAGTCCTTCCACAACCTTTTTGATCATTTCCCAGGCGTTGGGTTCAGTGAAATCTTACTGTCGGAGATGAGAATATTCTCGAGCTTGAGATCCCTGTGCGCTATCTTATGGGCGGAGTGCATGTGATTCAGTCCTTCCACAACCTTTTTGATCATTTCCCAGGCGTTGGGTTCAGTGAACCCTCCCTTATCTCGTAACCAATCGGTGACAGTTCCGAACTGACAGAACTCCATTATCATGAAGATTCGGTTCACTGTCTGCGAGACTTCATATGTCTTTATAATACTCGGATGTTTGAGAGTCCGAAGGATTTCTATCTCTCGCGGCAGGAATCCGATCCGATAGTTGTCATTGGTTTTGGTTAAGTCGATCACTTTGACGGCCACATAACGGTTCCGGTCGGCCATATAAGCCTTGTAGACCTCCGCGTAGTTTCCGGAACCGATGGATTCGATGAGTTGATAGTTCTTACTTCCGAGATATTCTCGAACCAATTGAAACTCTTTGGACTCTTTGGCGACGAGACCCGAGGCGTTATAATTGGCGGCCGGAAGTGCTTTCTTCTTCTCCTCTTTCTTACCCGAAGCCTTGACCTTTCCGTAAGCGCTCTCTCCTCCCTTCACGGGTGCCTTTTCATCGCTCGACTTCTTCTGATCTTCTGATTCTTCGGCCATCTTCTGGCCATCGTTTCCCGCATTCGGTGTTTCGTTTGCTTTGCCTTTCGGCGGATTCTTCGCAGGAGTTTTGTTTGGCTTTTTGTTAAACGGAAGATTCATATTGTTCTCTGGTTTATCTGATTTGCCACAACATGAACCCATTATACACTCATTACTGCCATTGTTTTCAAATTCAATTCAAATTGTCGGTTGATTTAGATTTAATCGTTGAAATTATATTTTCAAAATAAATGATACTTAAATGTATTGTTAGTCTCAACTGAATGTTATTTTAGCAAATGATTTGTTTAAACCATTGTTTGCATGAAAACCCAATTCAATCCAATAATTTGCAAAATAGTTTCAAAACTAGTTTTAGATGTTTGTATCAATTATTACTGCAATTAAGATTTTGCATAAACTTTTCACGTTATGTTTAGAAATCAATTTTTTTATAAGTTTTGCAATTAATTATTGCTTTATTGGTTGTTATAAAAAACCGTTTAAACTATCAGTTCAATCAAATTGAAACATTTAAAGTGAATTTATAGGTTTGAAAATAAGTAAATCTAAGAATAGCTATAGGAATGTCAGCACAGAAGCAATCGGTGACTCTTCATGTCTACGATGTGGTAAACACTTTGAATAATTAAATGTAATAAATAGTAATTAAAATTCTTATGCACTAAAAGCCGGACGCAAACCAATACATAAAGATAATGTCACCAGATTTGGGTGTTTTTCATACGGGAGTCGAAGTTTACGGTAAAGAATATTCCTTTGGAGGACATCCGCACGACTTCAGCGGTATATTTATTACCACTCCTAAGGATATCCGATCCCTAAGTGTTAGCGATACTTTCAAATACAAGTAATAATCGTCTGAATGTTTTAATGGCATAACAATTAGGTTTTTACTGAATATTCTGTATGATTAGGGAATCGAAACTAATTGGTTATACAGAGCTAACTGAAGACAGTATTCAACAAATAGTGACACAAATGGGTGCCAAAGAATTTCGTGGAAAGGATTACAATCTGATCCGCAAGAATTGCAATGACTTTTCAAATGCATTTTGTAAAGTAAAAAAGCAATTCTTTATTCAATATGATTTGGTTTTAAATAAATTGTATGTTTTTTTGTTGTTTAGAGATTGTGTGGTAAAGGCATTCCCAAAGATATCAATAATTTAGTCAAAATTATAGCTCAATATCCATGGCTTGAGAAACAGATACCCAAAGAGTTTATGACTCCAAAGACACTCGAAAACAATGTCAAAGAGAGGGAGAAGAGAGACAAACAAATGCTAAACAAACCAAATGCCGATAATAAGGAAAGTAATGATAATAATAAGCAGTGATTTGTGTTTAGAAATGTTTTCAAAAAAGTTTTCAATTCATTTGACTTCTCATTGAAACTGCAATTTATTGTCAATAAAAATAGTGTTATTTATGATTCAATCTATGCTTACATTCATTACAAGTGTTGTGTATTTCTGTTGTAATACTTCAACAATTAATTCATTGTATTTAACGTGAATTAAAAGAGTGTTTAAAGTTATAATAAGTGAACAATTAGTGAATGATTGCAACAATAGTTTAGTTTCATATTTGACTTGAATTCAAACTAAAGTCAGTTATAAGTGAAAAGTCGTTACGAAAGTCAAGTCAAGTCAAGTCGATCTCAAATTGAATCAATAGTTTTGGAAATCAATTGATTTGAAAGACAAACGCAAAGAAGAGGAAGAATGGGAAAGACAGTAGATTTCGCGACAGCGAAGATCGGATTCCTCGGCG